TTGATCGTTTACAGAATCTTAATACTTTTATAGAATATTGTGGAATGAAGAAGAAGCCATAAAAATGGTTGTTTGCAACTAGCAAAATTTGATAGTTTTGTTTCATATTTTTTTATGTTTTTGCGAGATCTTTCGAAATTACTATAATCCTATTAATTTTGCGTAGAATTTAGAATTCATATTTCTTATAAAACATAAAAATGAAGTTAGTTTTTTAGTCGTTATATTCCATTGCGACTATTTCATGCACAATATTTAAAAATGTGTTTGTTGCTATCCTTGCTTGGAACTTCTAGACATATCACCGAAAATTTTGAATGATATGCAAAAATAGAACCCACAGAGTGTTCTTTTTTAATTTAAGCCCTATTAGAAATAATCAAGATGTACTGTAGATATTTTAAATATTTTTCAAAACAATCGGGCTTTAAATTGAATATAGTCTGAACTGAAAATAATGAGAATTACTACCCAGCCAATTATGAAAAAAAAAATAAAGGCGTTAGTCTCCCATAAAAATAATCGTCAAACTTTAGTTGCAATTTCATTACATCGAAGAGAAATGAAAACGACGTGAGCCGCCCCAATTGTTTCGGCAGTTCCACAACGCCGCACGTCAATCATTTTCATAATCTTTGTGCTCACTAGAACCTCAGTTTAACAACATATCCTTGTTAGATCCGCACAGACAAAAGAGAAACCTTGTTTATAGTAACAATCGCCAGCGGACGAATTCGCCAAATTATAACTAATTTCTCTGTAGTACTTCTTTTTTTGTTCATTTCTGATGCGTCCGAGTTCCCTCCATCATTCGTCCATTCATTCCACATTCAGAAAATGTTCAACACTGAAGAAATTGAGGATATATTAGCTGAAAACTTCAACAGGTAATATACATTACTATGTGGTTAATAATTGATGGTCCCCGCATCGAAAATTGTGTGTCTCGATATGGAATGGCTTAGTACGCCGCTTTCTCAAATTATTCATTCAACAATAATTAATTAATATATTTTGAAAGAAGAGGAAAAACACGTTTTTTCATTTTTTTCCTTTTCGTTTCGGGCATGAATGAAAAATGATCATGTTCGGGGGGTGGGGGCGAAGAATGGAAAGGCGAATTGTTGGTCTCAATAAAACACTAAAATCGCGACTATACGTATTTTTTTCCGGTGAAGAGGCCTTCTTAAAACCTTGACTAATCGCTGGGGCGATTTAATTGAAAAATTAGGAATTCTGAAAAGCTGGAAATCGGAGAATTTCATCCCACATCAATTTTTTTTGCTCATATTTCCTCCCGCGTTTTCTGGCTTACACATTAGGAAAATTTACACATCACTTGGGTTCTTGTTTTTTTTCCGCATTGCTCAATCTTTGGAATGTTGTACCCTTTGGTAATTGGCAATAATTGTATTTTAGAATCTGCGGACATTTCGAATTTTTTTTAATTCCAATTTCTTAAATATGACTGTAGTGTTTTGCGAAAAAAATATCTGGGAAATTGTTGAGAAATTCATGAAGTTTTGAAAAGAAATTTCACCTGCGGACAATCTTCCGGATTACGGATAAATTCAAACATTTATTAATTGGTTTTGTTGCTTAATTTCCATTGGGTAAGCCCCCTCAGCATTCCGGATTCAACAAACCCACTAAACCGCGCACTATTAATTTCCCATTCATTTCTTTAAAAACAAACTTTATGAATCTGTCTGAAAACAACACGTCAGTCCTCCAATTTAAGAAAATTCACAATGCTTCTTTTATGAAAATAAAAAATGGCTATAGAGAGAGCATGGGATTTCAGCGCGAAAAATATAGCAAATAATCCAAAGGCTGTCCAAAATTTTTCATCACGAAATGGCGTACCAATATGTTATACACCCGTAATTCTATTACATAGGCACTTTTTCTTCATTTTTATATTTAGAATAATAATGAATTCGAGATAATATGTCATTTCCACGTACTTTCTTTCTCGGTATTCCATTTGTTTACTCCACCGACCTTTGCTTTCTTATTGATTTCGAAAAAAAAAACGTTTTTATTTGTAATAAAATGAAAAAATATGAATTGAAGATTGCCAAATCGTCTGTAAAATTTTTTTTGAAAATTAAAACGGAAATGCAAAAGTGTGGGTGCAATATTTTCCATACAAGTTTTGCAAAAAAATTTGAGTCAAGCTTTTTCTGAAAACGAAATTCCAAAAGCTCAAAGGTTCGTTTAGCAATAATTTTTCAAAAAATTTAAAAAATCAGAAAATCCGGAATCATAAGTTCATTTTTTGTGGCATTTCTCTTGTGTCAGGTCAACCCACCAAAATTCATTGCTCCTCCTATCCACCTGACAGCAACACTACTCTTTTTTTTCCACCAATATGATGTCACAAAATCCAAACGCTTTGTCTGCTCGTTGAAAGTTAAACTTGCATATAGTCGGCGATTAATATTGGTAAATTAAAGTCAGTTCCAGTCTCTATCTAGTTATTTAACATTAGTTTTCATTCTTTTAAATTTCAAAAAAAAAGAAAACAACAAAAGGGATATATTCATAAATATACAGTCTCGAAACATTTTGGAATTTGCATTTTCAATTTGGTGTTTCTATCTCTCATTATCTGTTAGAAATCAAAAATCCAGCTTCTCTCTACCATAATGTTATATCATATATAAACTCTAAATGCTTGTAGATTCCAATAGACACCCTCATAAATTGTTTATATATTCACATGATTAGCTCATCCGCAATTATTTCAATTCAAACAATTATAGTAGATCATCATTTTTTCTTCGCCTTCACAACTTTTCATTTTCAAGCGCGCCGATGTCATGCCATTCAGCAAGCAGCAATATTCCTGACGTGGAGTAAAGATCTTGATGATCAATTCAATTCATTTTCTCCCCCCGTTTTTTTTAATGCGCCTCTCACGGGACCCATTGTTGTGCTCCAGCAGCAGAAGCAGCAGCGGTAGATTTAACATCACAATTTTCTCGTCAGCTCGCGCGGCACACTCAATGTAATAAATTCTGAACGTAGGAGTTTGATTCATTTGGAGGAGCCACCAAATTTGGCCAATTTCGCGTATTAGTCATGTTATAACGGTGAAGCCTCATCAGAAAAAAATGAATGTTTATTTTTATAAAGACGAGTCCCTCAATGTCTTTCCATGTTTGCAGCCAAGATTTTGCGGCGGCATTTTCAAAGCTTCTGAATAATGCGCTTGATTTTTTTTGTGTCTGCACCGGAAATTGGGCATGTAATATGGATACCTTTCGAGGTCGCCCCCAACTTCTTCCCACCCATCTATCCTGGCTGCCCCTTTCTTTTTTTTTTAATATATTAGATGGTTATGAATTATTAAAGGACGTTCTCCTTTCCATTGAAAAGTCAATGTTTTTATTCCATCAAAATTGACCAAAATAGTGCATTTTTCACTTTCATCTTTGACAAATTAACTTGTCGCGTCCTCTTCATTGCGCGCTTGATCATTCAAAGTTGACCATTGATGAACACACTATAATTTTTATAATTTATAGTTAACGCTCAACCTTACCTAAATGGGGCCTTCGAAAAAATGCCCAGACAAAAAATATAACACGTCGATTTTCATAATGAGATGAATGACCTTTCATTTATGAAGTTGTTTTAATTACGACATTCATCTGCTAGAAAACCTAATTTACTTTCTTTTAAAGTAAACAAGCTTTTTAAATTTTTTTTCGACTAGATTACAAATCAATTTTAAAGAATTTTTGGTGAAAACAATAATTTTTTTTTTAATTTTGAAATCTAGAAGAAATTTATTTTACATAGAAATTTTTGCGTGAGATTAAAAAGTTTATTGAAAAGGACATTTGCATATTTTGCTAAAGTTGAAATATGCTTGGTTTTTTGAGTTTATCTGAACATAATTGCCGTGTTTAAACCAAAGAAACGCGCTGGCTTGTTTGTTTATACCAAAAAAACATCAATAATCAATTTTTTTCAGCAAACCTAAGTCTAACTTTCAGTCACCACAAAAAAATACGGTTAATTTTCATTCAAGTATTAATAGAATTTGTAAATTCGATTCTTTTTCATTTTCAAGAATGTCTATTTAAATTTAGAATTTAAAAAATATAATTTTCTTCCTCGACTTGACGTAATCGTTTTCTTCTAAATTGAATTACAAGTTATAATTATCACGATGATCACTTGAAATTCGTAATCGTTTTTAAGTGAGCCAATGTTTGAGCTGAGACAATGCTGATTGCTTACCAAAAATAAAACGAATGACGCTCGAATGTTTTTGGCAGGTTTCGAAAAAAAAAACCAACATTATCGTTTTTATTAATCTCTGGTTAATTGGAATTTGCTAATTTTTAATTAGTCCCTGGAAAGACCACAACCATCTATTCATGTTTGCACATCCACTAAAATGGGGCGTGATGGGGGACGAGATGAAGTTTGCTAGTTTTCTAGAAATTAATAAGGCGGTCTTGCAAAGGTTTTCCATTTCATGGAATCGAAACGATTCAATTTTCAATACGCATTTCGGAAATTTATGGAAATCGGACCTTTCTTTTCAGAAATGTCGCTGCTCCTTTCTTATTTTATTTTTCAAATTAAAGTGAGAAAACAACACAAAGGAGAAGTCAATTCAAGTCATATATAAATAAAAATAGCTCGCCATATCTGAGTTCCGCGGGAAAAAACATTTTTCATTGTCGTTGGTTTTTTTAAGGCTCGTAAAGCTTGTCTCTTTATATATATATATGTATTTTCTAATCCCTTCACTTTTGTTCCACATGTATATTAAAAAGGTTCAAAAAAGAAAGTATGAATGTCCTTGGGGCGGGGCCAAGGATGAGCTCATTCGAGCTCTCCGCACATATTTTTTCTTGTTTGGGACGTCCTTCTGCAGCCATTCAACGATTCGCGTTTTTCTTGCGCGCGAATCATTTATTTAATTGAACGTCGTACTACTTTTCTGGTCTTTCAGCAGTGGCATTCAGTCGCCAGCCATGGCGTCTTCGGGTATTGCTGACGACGACATTCTGCCAAGTTTTTTGTCGCCGATTCTTCAAATGTTGTCACATATGCTGAACGGATACTTGACGGCGTTTTTCGTCGTTACAGGTGAGCGGTAATTTGAAAGGCTTGCAAATAAAATTGTTCATGCGTGAATGAATTTCTGTTGGTTGGCTTCTGCTTCAAACAACATTCGTGTAGTCGTTTTAAACCTTGAAAAATGATGTTAAGCAATTTATGAAATTTGATGATCAACAATTAGAGATCAGCGTTTTTTCTTTATTTTTGGATTAGTTTTTGGGATTTTGTGAGATCTTCGAAAAAAAAGAGCGAAAAAACAAGTGAAAACTAGGGTTTTTTGACAATATTGGCATAGTACCATTTTATACATTCAAAGCTTCATATTTCAATAATTTTCAATAAGAGAACATACATTTTTGTGACATTTCTATAATTAAACGCCCACTTATAAAACTCTGCAAATTATATCTTGCAAACGAGGTTGAAAGAAGCGTTTTACGATTTTGAAAAATTTTTACTCAAAGAAAGTATTTCAATCTATCTTTTCTTTAAATCTAGGCATTTACGTCATTGGCTCAACGCCAAACTCGAAAAAAATATTTATTGGACATTTTGTAGGCATTATTCTCAACGCCTTCTCGGTCTACATATTCCTCCGATGTGATAGGTCCGGCACACCAGCGATTCAATATTATTTGGTAAAATATTTCCAATTTTTGGTTTCAAGTGACCAAAGCTCCAGATAGCCGTTGGGCATCAATTGACCACCAGTTGTTTTCTCTAAAAAAGATATATATGAATTCAGTTTGATCTCAAAATAATGAGCTTCATCCCTACTAATAAAGATTTTTCCTCAATATGGAGGATGTTTTGCAGCTCACTCAAATCAGGCAAATAGTTCAATGATCATGTTTTTTTTCAGGTCACGCTCACCTTATGGCAGACCGCTTTGCTAGCCAATGCCTTCCTACTGTACTCGTTGCCAAATCTGCTATTCGGCCATCTTGTTGCTCAAGGAAGCTATGTGTACTTGTACCCATACGTTTACACATTCGCCAATACAACTCATACGGGTTCGGTGTGGATCGTTCTCACTCTCACCATTGACCGATACTTGGCTTTGTGCCAGCCTTTGAAGCATCGAGCAATCGGAAAAAAGAGCAGAGTCCGCAGATTGATGATGATTGTTTCGCTATTGGCTGTACTTTTCTCTGTTCCCCGATTCTTCGAGGTACCCTTTATATTATTGGATTATTGATGCGATCAATGATTTTCAGGTGCACGTCATTCCAATTTGCGATGGAGATTACTGTGTTGCTGCTATTGATAGAACTGAATTATTCGAAGTGAAATAATAATTTTTGCGCAAATAGGAATTTGAATCATTTTAGAATCGCCTCTATTGGTCTATTTACCACGTTGTATTAGCAATGATATTTGTCACACTTTGTCCATGTCTTCTATTGTTTGGGCTAACCCTAAGAATTTCAATCGGTACAGTCTCACACGTCATATTTAATCATCTGAAGATTCAAATTTCAGCCTTGCGTTCTGCAATCGCCAAACGGAAATCGCTATGCGCACCAAATGCCGACATCGATGCACGAAACAAAAAATGCTATTCATCGAGAAAAGAGCACAAATCAAATATTATGCTAGTTCTGGTTATTGCAAAATTCTTGGTTTCGGATATTTTGCCTACAGTGATTGATGTTCTTGAGCATGTAAGCCTAGAAATCCCAAGAACCAAGTAAAGAATATAACGTTTGGCAGGTTGTTGGACAATCCGCTTTTATGAGATCCCCGCTAGCCTCACTGTTCGTCGACCTCTCCAACTTTCTAATCGTCTTGAACTGCTCCTCAAACTTTTGGGTGTTCATTGTCTGGGGAAAACGATTCCGACGATCGTGCCGAAATATTCTTCTATCCACTCATATCGGAATGTACGTGTACAAGTTGGCGCGATGGAACTCGGAATCGGTGAGTGAATCAGTGTTAATAAGCAACAATTGGTTTAGTTACAGGAATTGTCATATTGTGCGCCCTCATCTTTCACAACCATTAATAACACTACAAAGATCTATGGAAGTGACGGAAGATCGTTCAGAACAACTAGAGTGAATGCAAATGATCTTGCTCCGAGGTGAATTCAAAGCATCTTGCTTTTACAACTTGATATTTTTTCAGTGATAACACCTCGCGACGAGGAATGAATGAAGAAAATGAGACAGTCATATCGGCATCGTCTTCCTCTCGACGTACACGAAAAGCCACTGTTATCAACATTGAAATGGACAAGCAGCTCGACAAGAGCTGGGACTACGAGAAAGGCGAACAGCTAAACCAACTCGAGCGCCAGAAGCTTCTCCTCACGCCCACCTAATTTATTAGCAAAACAGAAAAGTGCAACTTTCCGTTGCATTCGGGTAAACCATATCCGATCTCATTAATTTAATTGTATTCGCTGGTTTCATCAAATATGCCGAAGAAAAATTTTTTGAATGTGTTTTGTATGTTTTTTTTTTCTTATTTTTATTGAATAAATGCATAAATATATCAAGAATGTTTATGGCAACTGTTTCCTAGAAACCCAACGGCGAAAGATGGTTGGCCAGATTTTGGCGTTTTACGAATAATGCGCGGAATTTTACTCTATCTCGTTGTTGGCTTATTTTTACTAATATCAGGTAAAAGACGCCTTTAATTTGTCTGAAATTTCGCTTCTAGAATCATTGTCTCAAGTCAAAATCAAATGCTATAACTGCATTGCTCCACTGAACACAGAGGACATGACACGCTACTGTAATTCTAGTCTGTACTGCGAAGGTGAATACTGTACAAAGGGTCCCGATGCGAAATGTATGTGCCATAATTATTACTCGCGATTTTCTTAAAACAAATCTTCAGCTAATGGAATTTACCATGGCTGCTCCGATACCCCACCATTAGATAAAGCTGGAACAGGTTTATTCAAATTAATGGTCCCTTCAACAAAATTGGTTTCAGATTGTAAATGGGTAACAAAGAAGACTGGAATGTTCAATAATTGCTATTGCAAGAACATTGATTATTGCAATTCGTCAAATCCATCAACTTTGCATAACTCAATTATCGTTGTATTACTAATATTGCTATGGTGAATAAAAATGTTTTCGGTTGAATTCGACACAATGAATATCATAAGCACTCTGACAAATTAATTATGTATATGTGCCGCGCGAGTCAGAATAAAAATCGTGGTGCCAGCTCATTGTTTCAAAAACAAATATATATATGTATGCCTGCTGAGATAGTATTTGGTTTTTAATTTTCCCCCTCAAAAAAATGACATGTATCTAGTCTTTTTAATATTAATAGTCTTCAAAAAATTTGAGTCCTCTTCTTTTTTTTTCAAATTTGCAGTGGCAGTGCTCATTTTAGAGGCCCGCATTATTTCTACGATACTTCTCAATGCCTAATTACTATCATTAATAATGGACTCAATAGTTGCTGTCTTTTTACATCGGGGAGATCAAATGTTTCTTGGAAATCTCGCAAAAACTGGTAAGGGAAATAAGTAAAAACGATCCAGATAAGCTGCCAATATTTCAGACAGCTCTTGGTGCTCAGAGCATCCATACATCTGCGAACCAACAATGCCCATCGACAGTATGGCGATTGTCGGTGTTATTGCTCTGATGCTCTACTTCTATTACCAATAATGACAATAAAATTGTTCAATTATCGATTTCAATTCTGTATAATGAATAAAATCAAATGTTTTGATGATCATTTCCCATTACATATAAAGTGCTCGAGACAAAACAGCAGAAATTTCGGACATAGCTCATTTCACGTTGACAGATAAGAACTCGTCAAAGAAATTGTTCAAACCAATGCGAAGCCGAGGCATAGTGTCCTTGATAACAAAACTCCTGGAGGCAATATTTTTTGATAAGGCTCTCCGTCGTGTCAGTTAGTTTTTTTTTAATATTCAAATTGTATTCATTGTTTCGACTGGTGTATATTCTTAACGCATAATTAACATTTTAAAATGCGCTCTGTCATTGCTGTGATTTCGACAATCCCTTTGCTTCTTGTGGCAAAGATTTTAACACAGAATATACCATATACAAATCAGGTACAATGTTTGGCTTAATTCATACAACTGAAATTGTTTTCAGGGATTTTTTTGTAATGATAATGAGATCCGATATCCAAATCGAGAGGATACAGTGCCTTCAGACACCATGCATATGATCTATACTATTTTTGCCATTGTAGTTATTATACTATCTGAGCTTTCTCTCATTCGAAATCTCAAGGATTTCCGGCATCATTGGGTGCAATATATTAAAAATTTGCTAATTTTTTTTGGTATTCGATTTTCTAATTGTTATAGTTCTATTCATTTGCCGTTTATTAGGCGTCTACATGGCCAGTGTTCTTGCAGTCACAGTGAGCTTAAACGTCTTTAAAAGAACGTCATCAAGACTTCGACCAAACTTCATCGACGTCTGCAAGCCAGCGAGCTTAGACCAATTGTGTCCATTAGGTGATTAGGAAACCTTCCAGCTATACAATTGTCTATTTGCAGGCTCCAACGCCTTTGTTGAAGACTTTGTATGCACCGGAGAATCAGATGCTGGCCTTCATTTCTCATTCCCATCCGGACACGCGGCACATTCAATATTCTTTGCAACTTTTATCATCGTGAGTATTCCAAAACAATTTGATGATTCATAATTGAATCAATCGAAACAATTCTCTAGGGAATTAATCAATTGCAATGATTCCCAATTGCAGAGCCTCATTCACGTGCGCTCAAAATTGCCAATTCTTGCAAAAATCTACCTACAATTTGCCATCTTCGTGTTCACCGTCTTCGTGTGCCTTTCGAGGGTTAGAGACTATCGTCATCGGTTTGTGGATTGCCAAACGTCAAATCACATATAACCCATTCAAGATATGTCGATGTGGCTGGCGGCGGTCTCCTTGGTTTCACAATTGGAATGGGATTGGTCGAGCTTGTTATAAAGGGTCTCGATGCTCCCAAATATATAATCGTCGACAACGCCTCTTTGCAACCGATCAAAAGTCAAGCTCCAAGCTATTCCTCAATTCGTTGAAAGTGTCAATAAAACCGAAAAATCCTTGATAAATTCATTATTACAAAATAACTATCGGAGCGGAAAACACACTCGAGAGAAATTGTTACAAAAATCGGGAAATGAACATACATATGTAAATCAAGAAAGAACGAGATTCAGTTTTTCACAGGTCTTTGAAGAATGGAGCTCACAGCGAATTGAATTACAAATACAGAAAAATTACCCTACATCTAATTGATGTATTCCATTTGTACCATTATCATTTGAAGCAAGGAAATGAACAATTAAATACTGTTGTATAATTAATGGAGTAATTATATTTGGGTTCAGCACACGATATGTGCGTTATTAGTCATTATCTGAAACTTGAGAAAGTGATTATCTGAATGTGATTGATTGGAGGCTTACTAATATCATCGTCCTCATTATTGTCCCTGGGCTCCTCATTGTCGTAACGCGTCTCACCATCCGAGACGCATTCGCGAACCACCGCATCGAAGCGTACGCGTTTGACCTGAAGATTTGAATGGATCAACGTCTCACCGAATGCAAATATTACCTGACGCTCAGAGCTCTGATTGCGCCTCTTATTTCCTCGCTTCAAAATCGGCGCCGGTGATTGCTGTGAGGCGGCAGGAAGCGAGTAGCGTCTCTAAACGTGATTTGCATTTTCAATTGCAGCAATTTTTATAAATCTTGCCGGCGCATTCGATGGCCCGGCACCATCATCCTCCAACGTGGAATCGGAGTCAAAAGCAAGGGCAGCCTCGATATTTCCAACGGCCAGCACTGCTCGAATGTTTCTTCTGACAGTCGGGACGACACCGTCATCAATCTCATCGTTGAAGATGAAGTCATCATCCAGCTCTTGAACGACACCATGACCCCTGTTTGATAATGCACCCGACGAAGAGGCCATCGCTCTCTGATTAAACTGCTGAAACTCCAATTCCCAGGCGTCGTCATCGAACAAGTATTCCTCATAGTCCTTAAATTAAATGAATAAGAAATAGAGAAAACATTTTTGTCATCTAAACAGCAATAAATTTTTAAACAACTTACAGGCATGATTTCATCCTCATCAGCTGGAGCGATTGATGGTCCTTCGTCGTTTGCTGCATGAGAAAGCGGGGGTTGATCGGAACCTTCCGAATCGTGACCTGAGTCAATCGAAAGACCCGTGATATTTCTGTTCACCGTTTCAGCGTTATTAAAATTATCATCTCTCATCGTCACATCATTCATCGCCGATTCCAAAACCTCATTTCGTTGAGCGCCATCCTCATTATCTGTATCCATATCCTCAGTGTTGTCCTCATCGGATTCATTGTCATCATCCTCACTTTCCATTCCATCAAAGGTGCGACGCAAATGCCAACGCAATTCAGAAGCGATTTCCTGCTGCAATTGCTGATCATTGGCGGGCCGATCGCGATTGTCTTGATTCATGATGACCGTCGTGGCGTCGTTGAGAACACCCGATGATTTCCTTCGATGCGTGATCTGCGCTCGTTTGAACTGCTGAAATTGTGCACCGTGTTAGGAGCGCCCTCCAACCCGTACATTGAAAAGAAAGTAATGACAAGCACAATAAGCATGATAGAATTGAGCAACAATGACCAAGGTTTATTTCCAACTAAAAGCACTACTACCCGAAATACAAGTCCCTCAATCTGACAAAATTCTTACCAAGAAGTAGAGCTGTCGCTCGCTGTTCATTCTAAATAGGTCTAACGAACCTGAAAGAACCGAATCATTATGAATGAAGCGCTCTGCGCACGCTAATTTCTTCCGTCTCGAAAAACCCCAAGCCACCCATTTTTACGAGTTTGAAAAAAAAATTTTTTTTGATAATCGAAACGAATGGCGAAGAGATGTCTGCGCGGTTACCATATCAACTACCACATACATTCGCACCTAAAATGGCAAAGACTAAGGAGAATCTATGAGTGCGCTCAAGCCACAATGAGGCCTCACTCCTCTTCCCTCCCAATGAAAGATGTTGGAGGCCCTCGAGAATCAATACGCGGCGCGGACGCGAAATCGCGTTGTCGAAACTGAGTCATAATTGAAGGTTGAATTAATTGTGCATGGCCCATTCGATTTCAGTGATTGAGCACAAAAGCGAAGCATTAATTAAAAATGTTGATTTCTCAAACCAACATTTTTTTTCTTCTCCTCTACTCGGACACCGCATTCCGAAAATAGACAAGCTTTTTTGATGATTCCTCATTGAATGAAGCGAAATGAAAAATGAGGGCATTTCGGAGGCAATGGAAAAAAATGAACTAAAACCTTTTTTTCTCGCCTGTCATCGAAATATTCAGATGGCCGGAAGGATTTAAAGAATTGCCAAAATTGATGAGGAAACACGTCGCAAATTTTTTGTGGCTTGGAATGTTTGATGTTCAGGCGCTTCTCTGCATCGCGCGTGCGGTGCGAATTAGACAAAAAAACTGCAATTGAAAATTTGATGAGAAAATTAAAAGAAAAAACCGCATGGTACAGCCTAATAAGATGGCTTTTGCGTTGAGTGCTTCGCATCAACTAAAGGGGCCCGAATGAAGGGTTTAGTAAGACGATTAGGTTGTTAAAGGGGCCCTTAAATCGACGGAGGGCGATTGGATAGAAGGGGGGCAACGTCACGAAGCAAAAAAAAGACCTCTTCGGCAAATGGATTGTTTTGTGAGAGGCTTGTGCCATGATCAAATGCGATTGTCGCGTTTGTAGCATGCTGCGCGCATTGAGCCCGCTAATCTCCTATTATGAAGTGAAGCACATGAGCCGAATGCAAAATTCATCGGTGAGTTACATCAAATTGATAAGTCTAAGCAAATGAGAAGATAGCCACACCAACTAGCATAAACAAAATCGAACGCATATATGCCACGCATCGCACAAAGAGGAAGAGGAGAAAAGCGACAAAAACACGTGTGCTTTCTAATGTGGCGAAACAGATTGAGTGAGACGGTTGAACGCGGGTGGAGGGTGTCGGGACAAGTGAGCACTGTGCCCTAACCGTTCGAATGGCTGCACCGCATATTATCATAAAAAAACGAAAAAAAAAACAATAACAAAACAAGCGTGCAAAAAGAAATAGTGCACTCACCATGAGAATTAGAGAAATATTAAAGTGCATATATTTTTGTACCGATAAAATAATAAATCATTGCTGGAATGGAATAATTTCCAGCGTTCCGTGATATCGATTTTTTCTATTAGATAAGCAATTTCGATTATTAACTAGATAGGCAATTATCGAAAAATGCAGCATGTGTTGAGAAATAGATATTTATATCAAATATGCACAAAGCTTTGATAAATGATTAGCTTGGTCTAAATCGATTTATCTGCAAACCAGATAAACTCGATTACGAGTGTAACTTATTTAAAGGAAGATCTCGGTGCCAGACTTTTCTAATTCGAAACACTGCCCACGGCATCGTGCAAACGCAAAATTAACATATTGCTTCGCCCCTTCCTCCAAACGAAATGGTCCATTATATTGGTGTATGTTGGTTTGAGGCAATAGAAAATTAGCAGAAAAACGAAGATTATGTTTGATACCTATAATAGCGAATTCATTAGGTTATTGGAAAAAAAGTGATTTTGGAAAATGTTCAATTCTTTGAAAAAAAAATGCTTAAATTGTTCAAAGGAAATTCTAGAAAAGATAAGAGCTGATAGCTGCTGTTTGGAGAAGGCTACTACAATATTTCACAGGAAAATTTTCAAGCGACCAAAAAAATTTCACGACGAAATAAAACATGCGGCATTGTTTAATCGAACTGTACGATCGTATTAACCGCCAACAAATTTGGCCAAAAAAAACTTTGCCGAAAAAAAGTGAGAAATTAATAATATTCTGTTTGCACGGCCAATTTAGACTCGAAATTTTCTTAGTAAGCTGCAAAGTGCACATTTCTTTTTATCAACTTCAGGCGTCACTTGTTAACACATACATTACACTAATCACTCGGTTTCTTCAACCAATTTTTACTATTTTTACATGGACATCCCATGGACAATAAAGGAAAATCGAGGAGAATATAGGTGAAATAAAACGACCTTCAAATGATATGCATTTGGTGCTGTTTGGTTCTTTTTCTTCCCACAAATATTAGGAACACCTTACTCCGCAAAACGTAATATTGCGATACAAGTCGTCGCTCTTTTTTTTCTTTTTCTTGTTGGCAGAGAACATCCGACGTGAGAATGTTGAATTTGACAATCATTTGCCAAACAAATGTTTTATAGGCAAACTATAAAAAAGGAGGATAAATATTTTCCCCATGTATTTTTTTATATCTTGCGCGAGTTACAATTATTGCTCTATGAAACATATAACTCAAGGTTTCAGAGGTTAACATTCTTAAACAAAACTGGTATGCGGTGTTTGAAGAGTAGACAAGGGCAAATACGAGTAGAGAAAACCGGTTATGCAGATTTCCGAGAAAAAAACCGTTAACCTCTATTTAAAACGAATAAAAATGAGCTTTGGGTAACCTAGCAGAAAGTTTGAAAATGAAAAACTATTTTTCGAATAATTTTTTATCGCTAAAAATTCGGTTCAAGTTAAAATCTTTGAGAAAATGGCGAATTGTGAGTTCTGGTAAAATTTGCCAAAATGAAAAAAACTATTTTCATGGTGAATTGATAAAAATTGAAAATTCTCAAATGACACATAAGGAAAATATTGAAATTTCACACAAAATCGAATAGTTTTCAAATTTTATGCTTCACTAATTTGCATTTGGCCAGAAAAGGAACGAACCAAAAAAAAAGTGAAAATCCAAAAAAAATTATGCGACGGAATAATTTGAAATTCGTCAACAGTGCTGAGCAACACGCTTCGAAATTCATATACTGTCGAGAGCGAGACAAATTTTATATAGAATATCAAGTTAAAATATTTTTTTAAATTGAAAACGTAATAAAAATGTGAAAAAAAATGTGCGCTGAAATTTCCAAATTCAGCTAAACTTGACTCATTAGATATTAATGGATATTTGATGTGAAAATCCAATTGCTTAATGAAAAGAAAAGAAGCAAAACACATTTGGAAACAAGGAATTGCTCCAATTTTAATGCGTGTAAATTGTCGTGCGTGTGTATTTACGGACGCGTTGTATGAAATACGAAGCCCGCCAATTTGAATAAATTACTCATCGGTTTTGGCAGCGATTAAAGGATATACACTGAGAGAAATCGAAATGTCCTCGAATTGCGGTAAAATGAGAAAATGAATATCGAGGTCATTTTAACTGAAATAAAAACTCTCTAAAATGAACATTTTTTTAAACAAAAATTTGTAGAGAAATCCAGATTCTATGAATTTTCTATATTAATTTCTATATACAATAAGAGAAATGGGGCTGTAAAAATGTTGAAAAAAAACTCTGAAACTTCACCTTTTCTCAAAACTTTATTCTCTCCATGATAACTCTTCAAATTCAATTTCATTTATTTAAAGTGCAATTTTGGATTTGGCCTCTGATCCAACTAGTAGTCGCCTTCACCTTTTCAACCAAAATTGCCCGCCACTTCACATTTTGTTTAAAAAAACTTGAATGTCATTTGAAAACTAACAATAGAAGTTTGCGCTCCACCCCCCATCCATTATAAGGACATTGAATGGAAGAATTTTTGCTCACCAAGTTATTGTCGCACTTTACTTTTTTTTTATTTCATATTTAAAAGTTTTTTGGTTTGAGGTGTAGTGTCGCCATTCTAGCGCCAGTGATGGTGTAATTAACAGTTTTAAGGCGTTTCGCTGTTTGCGTTTCTTCTTATTATTTCGGAAGGTGCACACTGCCGTTCTCATATGTCTGTCGAGCTTCCGGTGTTGAGGCGGTTTTGATTCGGGCGCGGAAGCAGGCGACGAGTCCGCGCCCGAAATCGAATCGCAGCATTGTGAAATTTGAATATCGTGACGAATCTCTCCCCCTCCCGACGCTTTATTCATTTCCTCTCGTCGATCGTGTGTCTTCGTCAACATTTGGTTGTGGGGTGAGGGGGGGTGTTTTTGTGCGATTGCTCCTGTCAAGATGAGCGTAACGCTCGATCATCGCGAATAAACATAGTCGCCGCAAAAGCTGACATTAAGTTCATCATTTTTGTTTCGTCCAATTTTTTCTGCATCTTAGTGATAACAGTCTTTCATCATTAACTATTGCGAGTGTGTTTACCTCCCGGCAACCAAATTCGGGCGGCCACTTAAACAATTCTCTTTAAAAAAAATATATACCCGCCGCAACCTCTATTCAACGCGGTGATTTTTTTTTGCGACAACAACTTTCTCCCCGTTTGATTGAATTATAGCCACTATTCGTTGCAATTACACGCCAAACTTTTTTTCATTTCAATTCTACTTCTTTGTAATTTTGTAGGTCTCGCAGAAATCCAATTTCCATGGAAAGTTGACCTACAAATTTCCGATCATCAAAAGCAACATTGTGTTATTTTCCTTTTTTAAATCATTTTTTTACACTTCACAAAGAACTAAAAAAAATTGATTCTGATCTTATAAATCCCATATCTTCATTATTTTAATATTGTATCTTTACCACTTTAAGCTTTATGTCGCTCTTAACCCACCATCCTCAATTTCACACCTACGAGCATCAAGTATTACACGCGTACACCTTAGACTGTTCGCCGGAAGTTAAACATTGTAACCATTTGATCCGATCCGATCCGATCGGACACGATCAATCACTATCTCATATGTTCACTTATCGCATTCGCGCATCGTGTCAAATGTTTCAATTTTACAAGCCGTCGGCGGCGCACGCGCAACCTATCATATAAAGCGGCATTCGCAAGAAGCTTTTGCTCGCCGCCAAAACAATATCATAAACAAAAATAATCTCGCATATCGGATCTATATTATCCAATTCCTTCTTTTCCTCCTCCTCCTCCTCCGTTTTGCAATGAGTGCAAATGTCAGTGAGTGTGAGTGGTGTGCGCGTGTGCGTGCGCTGGGCCGCGCGTTGAGACAACAACAATAACGAGGACAAAAAGAGGAGACGCGCAAAACGTGTATGCCTCATCTGCGCGTCACCAATTGGCGTTCGGCCAGCACAGTGACCGGAGGTCAGCCTCCTCCCCCCCCTTCCTCCCTCTTTCCCTTCCAAGCCTCTTGAGTTTCTTCCCCCTTCTTTACGCCCCAGCTACAATATGATTGTACAGTTCCTTAAAAGGAATATAGATTTTTATTGGTTTTTGGCAATAGAGAATGAAACGCGATTGTTTGTTGTGGTCTCAAGAAAGTGCTCGCTGTTTAATATTTAATGTCATTTTCACACCTTGTGCAAAACACTTAATTAGTTTCTATTAATTGAAAGTACGAATAAAAGCGAACGAACCGAGCGTTCAAAAGCAAAACAAAAAACACATTCCTCCCTCGTTTTCATCGAGTGATTGATAAGCATTGTTTGACCAACTGTTCTCAACTATGTGTTTAGTTCTCTCGAGTCTGTAAAGCTTGCAGCAAGCTGTTAATTAACAAAAATTCCAACCCATCGGCTTTATTTTATTAAAAGAATTAGCCTTGTCAAACACCTATGGAAAGAAAACCCACTCATTTTTTAATTTGGAAATTCTCAATTATTTCAAAATTTAAGTGTTTCCTTAGAGCGTACTTGCAACTTATTCGTATTCTGAATCTTAAATTCATTTCTGTCGTCTTTCGAAATGCGATTCTCCAATTCAACCAATTTCGCAGGTGGACCCGTTTCAACCTGGCTACTACTATAAAAGTCAAGAATGCCATTAGTTGATGGCAATGCCATCGCTGGGGTCGCGCTGGACTCGGTTCATTTTATGTTAACGATCGCGATTTTGATTGCAACGGTGACATTGGTTTCAATATGTGCTTGCTGTGGAACTAAAGAAAAGGAAAGGTAAAAATTGAAACCTGAAAAAAAATTGAAAATTCTGAAATTATTTTTTTCAGCAAAGATCAAGATGAATGCGATTATGGGGTTGTCGCCGCACCATCAAAGGATAATACAACTATCGAAAGTGGGCCGAGCCGAACAATAAACATCCGATCCATCACAAAAGCAGTTAGGAACCATGACCGACATTCTCAGCCTGTTGGGACAAAGGTTATTTGGATTTCTTTTCAAATTCAAATTTTCTAATCAATTAGAGATGCTTGCAGAACGCATTTAGCTCAAATCGACAATCAGCCCCGGGTAGAGCTCTTCCTCAACTTCCCGCTGATCTTTATACCCGTAGGATGAAAGACGTTTTCAACTTTGTAAAACTCTCCATATTTTAAGCGATCGACAAAAAACGCGACAAAGATGACATTCGATTCGTCGATGAGACAATAAATCCAATGTATGAATGTATCGACGCGGAAACTGATTCATTTGTTGATCCATTGTACTCGAAAGTTAGTTTATTTAACCCCCGTTTGATCCATTCCTCCCCATACATCGTTTTAATTGAAGGTCGGAGAAGTTCGCGGGAATCCAAACGGCACACGTGATCGCCGATATGACTATCCAATTTTTCCGGGACGTCAAACTGGTCAGCCAAGACCATCTCAGGATGATACGTTATATCAAAGTGCTTCACAGATTTACGCGCCAGGAAGTGAAGATCCTTACAGGTAAGAATTCATGATTGAAACGTTTCTTTAATACTTAACCAGAGCTTTTCCAATCCTTCGAATTCCACCTAACCCTTACTTCCATCGTTCCCATATCAAATACGCTATTAAACGGTATAATGAGCGTGTGATTTATGTTCGAATATTCTTTAGTTTATTTAATTTCAGTTTTATTTGTCGGCATTGTTTTTAAGCAAAATCCAATTGATTGCCTTTTCAGCTCGATTACTTCTGAAAGAGAGCGCAACATTGCGGCAGCTGATGGTGATGGAGACACTAGCAGCGCTTATGATCCAGGCTATGCGAAAGTCACTTCGCATTCAAAGCCGAAAAAGCAAAATGGGAAATCAAGACTGGAAAAGACAGAGAGGGAACTGGATTTGCTTTACTCAAAGGTAGTTATTAAAATTCTGGCTGTGCCCTTTTTCTCAACATGCAAATTTTGTAGATTCGACGGCCAACACCTTCAATGGATGATGATCTACCCGGACCTTCAAGGATTGACCCGATTAATGTTCCACTACCACCAACGGATCCAATCCCTCAACCAGTTCCATATGATTCGCAGTCTGTGGCCAGTCGCGAACCTTCTTATCGCTATATCACAATGAGGTATTGAAAAATTAAAGACGAGAATGACTGATATAATCTTATTACAATCACGCGCTTATTATTTCGGCTTATCAATAAAAACGTATGACTGTCTCAAACAGCAAGAATTCGATCTACTGGAATTGAGTGTAAAAAATTGAAAATATGTGAAGCGTAATATTCTGGATATTTGTGAACCATTCAAAATAAAGAAAAAATTCACAAAAAATGTTGTAGCAATTCACGCTAAAATTTGTAGAAATAAAATGTACACAACAAACTTTTTTTTTTCAAAGAATAACAATCAAAAAATTGATATTAAAGTAATTGTGAATATTTTCAGAGAAAATGCCGACAGTCTTCGCGAGCGTCTTCGACAAGAAGGCAAGTTAGATCGTCCGATTCGTGAGCACTATTATTCCACAATTGGAAATGATTATGAGACGGTGGGCATTTAGTTTGAAATTTTTCAGACAAGAATTTCTTATTTTTTCAGATAAATACACCAAATGCCTCATATTCTGGTAGGAACTTCCCACTGCCTGTTCCTGAGCAAAATCCAGGTACCAAATAGCAACAATATTCAATCAATAATTTTTTTTGCAGTATTCCCGAACAATAGCCTCACTATTTCTTTGACTCCCAATGATGAGGCTCCTCCGCCGCCGACTTCACCAATTCCTGATCGTACGTCATCAATGGTTTCCATGGTCGAACCGCCGGAATTGACAGCGACACCGGTTCCAGCAACACCAGCGTACGCTGTTGTCGTCAAAAATCGCAATAATGGACATCCATCGAATGAAGCTGTTGCTCCACCGCCGCTCATATATACTTCTTTGAACCATCCAAATGGTGTAATTGATGGCTCTTCGAGACAGGGTGCAATTGTCGCCCGTAAGCAATAATTCAATGTTGGTGTTGAGTTATTTCAAAAATTTTCAGAGATCAATGAATTTGTGAATCGTCCAACTCTTCCATACCGCAGCTTGGACACTTTGATTGGACGAGGAACTGTTGAAGAAAAAGAGGTTATCGTTGATACGCGATCGAGTATGATGTGAGATAGTTGCCAAATTCATATTGAAATAATCCAGTCGTTTCTAGGTCCGGAATCCCCAGTCAGCCGAGTCCGAATGGTGCAATGAGTCGGTCTGTTGACAGTAAGATTGAAATTTGCATTGAATCAAAGAAAATTTGCAAATTTTCAGCAAGCTGGGAAGGTCCGACGACATCTCGAAGAATCCATGAAGTTCATATTGAAAAGATCGCCGAAAATCATGGTCCGAGCGCTGATGAAATTATCTCGGGTATACTGTTAATAATCGAATTGTGATTCCAAACATTTTTTTTTTGCAGGTCGCCGATATCGAGGTGGACTATCATCTGCTGATGATGGTCAGAAAGCCGTTCAAAACGGCATCGATTTGAATAAAGTCAGTATTTTTGAATTAATTTCAAAAATTTTTTATGATATTTTTTAGAATAGCGTTGACGGAGCTCGAAGCTCCGATGATCTTCGTGGGAGCGAGAAATCGAAGAAGAATCCTTGGAAAGAAGAAACAGAAGGTACACAATTTTTATAATTTGTCATTAAAAGGGTCATCTCATTTGTTTTCTGAAATACCCATTTGGTCTCTTAAAAATTTGACATTGGAATTTCGTAATACCCTTCTGTCTACTATTCATTCTCTTCATATAATCAAGCTTTCTGAAATGTTTGAAGATAGCATACGCAGAGCGTTAGACAGTAAATTCAAATATGATATTATCCCGCCATTTTTTTTCAGATGAGAAAATCAAACGCCTTGGAACGATCTATACAGCTAATGACTACGTGAGCAGCATCGACATGAGCAACGACAAGCCTTGGCCGTTGAGCAGTAGATCGAATGAGCCTTCATCCTCAAAAGAAGAATAACCAATCGTTTTAAAACGTCCATCACGGGTCTCGAGCTTTCCTAGTGACTTACCGGTGCCTGTCATAACGAATTCAAATCAACCACAAATTCGCAATACAAATATCGTTCTAATCCGATCTCTGTCATTTTTTTCCCTTTCTGTCACCTAATGCTTTACTTCTCAATTCACTTTCACTCGTTCATTCATCGATTGCTTTTTTAAAAACTCGGGTGTAGCATATAATGTTTATTCATTTGATTCCATTTAAAAATATGTTTGTAAAAAAAAAACTCGTCAAGAGTAAGTCATCAAATTATTGAAGATCAGCACATAATGTCATGAAGAGGAATGAGATGTATATATGAAACAATTAAATAAACAATTACAACGCAAGAAAATCCCTTTAAAATGAAGAACACGTACATAAAACAAAATCAGAGTTACTGGAGTACCTATGTTTAATTGTTCATAAAAAGTGGTACATGAAGTATTTTGATGAAGTAGCAAGATAAGTGGTCATGAAAGGATTATTGGTAGATAAGTTTAATTGATTTCTTTGAAGATTTCACGTTGTGGTTCAGTGAAGTACGGATGTTTCAGCGCTTCAGCTGCTCGAAATCGTTTTGAGACCTTGAACCTGAGGCATTCTGTTATTAGCTGAGCGGCTTTTGGATGGAGATTCGGGTTGAGGCTGCAAAATCAGAAATGATTTAAAGTCTTCATTAACCTTCTATCCTACTTAGTTATTGGTTTAGGCTCGTAGGTGACAAACGAATGATGGGAAACGACAGACTCTCTTGGCCATTCCTCAATTGGTGGAGTTCCGATCAATCTAAAATCAGCAAATTTTTCAAATTCATAATTTAGCAAAGCCCTACTGGAAAATGATATGCAATTGTTCGGCCTCTGTCTGCGCTGGGAGAAGAGGTTGGCGATTGTAGAGCTCGCTAATGATGCATCCCGCTGACCAAATATCGGTTCCACTGTCGTAGTTAGCTTGGAGCAGGACTTCAGGACTGCGATACCAGAGCGTCACCACCAATGTGGTAAATGCACTAGTGTTCGAATAATTTCTTGAAAGCCCAAAATCCGCTATCCGAATTGTCTGATCGCGGTTAATCAGAATGTTTTGGGGTTTCAAATCGCGATGAATAACGTTGTTAGAATGTAAGAATTCCAATCCTCTGAATAGTTGCATAGCAATGAACCGGCATTGATGTTCTGGTAGAGATTTTGGAATCTCTTGAAGGAATGTGAACAGGTCCCAATCGCATTTCTCAACGAGTAAATTGATTTGAACCATTTCATCGTCTTTCACCAGCTGATGAGAGATGTCATGGAGTCTGAAAACAAATATATACTTTTTGAACAGAAAAAAGAGTTAGACAATTTTCTTCGTAGAAAAACTTGGTCATGGCGGGCTTTTAAAATAGAATTTTGACTTCCCCCAAAAAAGTTTTTAATTTGTCCAATTTTCAGAAAAAAAATTAAATGCGCTTCAAACTACCTCAAAATTGATGGGTGTCTCTTTCGTCCAAGCAGTTTGAGCAAATGAACCTCCCTTAGAACACTTTGTGGAATTCCCTCTGCCGTAGATCGAAACTCCATCTGCTTCAAAGCGTACTGAAATTTAAGCATTTCACAATCGAATGAGCTCGATGCCATCCTTACCACTTGGTGTGAGTTCTTATGTCTGACCTGATAAACGACCCCATAGGATCCTTTGCCAAGTACATTCACTATATGGTAATCATCCAAGAATGTGTACTCCTTTCGGCAGCTCATCCGATTCATCATATTCTCCAATCCGTTGACCTCCATCCTTAAAAAATGGTAAAATTAAACAAAAGGGAACAATTCGTCAAAAGTTGAGGCAATCTTGTAGGTCCGTAGAGAATTCGTTTGCAAATTTTAGGCCCAACCAAAAACGATTTTTTTTCGGTCCTGCGTCGCGTGCGTGCGTACGTCACTGACGAATTATGACCTTGCTGGCGTAACGCTGTTGCATTTATCATGTTTATTTTTCAATTCATTGAATTTTCAGCACTAATCCTACATTTTATTTGCATTAAGCTCGCAATCCACAAATAATTAAATCAGCAGGGTTACTGAATCAATTTGAAAGGATAGAAAACGGATATTTAGCGGAATTTTTTTCACATTTTTGCACTACACATCTCTAAAACCTCGCATTTTTTTCGAATTCGCGCACTACACATTCTAAGGCCTAAATTAATTGTTTACGTGTTTATTTAGTGAAGAATGAAACGATAAAAAAGGCAATATAATTGTTAGGAATTATCTGTTATCAAAATGGTACCGGCGCCACCAACTCCCGCATTTGTTTCTACACAAAATTTTGCCTTCAAATAAAATTTTTGCGACAATTTCAAAACGTTGAGTAAGAAAAAAGACAAAAGCAAACATCTGGCCTAAATCGCGCGAAAAAAAAAAGCTAAAATGAGAAAAAAAAAAGAACGATAGAAAGGCAAAAAGTGTGAGGTTCGGCCTTGAGATTGAGCGGATAGACAACACGCGGGGGGACAGTAAATGCGCGACAAGCGTCGTTGTTGGGACACACCGAAAACCGGGCCAATCGCATTGTGCCGGTCCGTGAGAAAAGGGTAAGGGGGGGGGGACGCTAACAACGGCTCATGTTGCTTTTCTGCTCTATGGCACCAAGGCTCTCTACGGAATTTTTATTGCGCAATTTTTGCCAACTTTGTGTTTTGAAATTAAGTTAATTTTGCCAATGTTTTCAGATGAGCTTCATACGAAATTGGTTTCCATGCTTTCGTCCATGCTTAGATTGCGTTGAAGGCCCAAGTTTTGATAGCGTTGGCTACGCAAAATTCAACGCGAGCTATCAACCAACGGTACGATTGGATGTTGGCCGAATGGGTAAGATTTCACTATCAATTCAAAAGTATGTATAGAAAATACTAATGATAAAAATTGTTTGAAAAATTAAAAAAAAATGTATTAATTTTTGCAAACAACGAAATTTCTTTGGATCGATGCATTTCGTAATTCGATAAGCGCGAAGGGATGCTTGTGCAATTTACTGCTGCATTGGCCCAGAAATAGAATAATTCTACTTTAGATAAATGTTTTTATACAATAAAGCGAATATATAATTTTTTAAAACAATACTAAAAAATTTTTCCCAAACTTGGTGAATTAAAGAAAACTTCAGAAAATATTTTTTCTTTTTCACATTATTGTAAATATATTGTTATATATCACATAGAAAAACGAATTTCAAATCTGAAGCAATATAAAAAAGGCATGCTAAACCTCCTATTTAACCAATATTTCAACCGTGAATTTTTCGCAATCTCTCACCTAAATCCGCAGAACCCCACCACAAAAAAACTTGATCAACGCCAATGATTTCAATCGTCTTAAGTGTTTCAACAGATATTATCTAACCCACATCTCAAATTCAAAAAGTGCATCGGACTAGTCATCAAGATTTGCTGAATTTTCTTATGACGGAATCGTGTGCACTTCGCGAATTTTTGTCAATATTTTTGCTCTTCGAAAATTAGTAAAGTTCGAAAAATTTGCATTATGATGCAATGAGTATTCTCGGTGCGATGTTTATTAATCAAGGATGATCAAATATCCAAATTTTGCGACATTTGTGGACTTTGCAGTTTACAAATCCAAAAATTATAATAGTTTATAATAGTAACCGATAGCATAAATCATCACCATAGTACTAATAATCTAATATTATAACTTTGTGAAGCATCTACGCGTCGTTGAGAACAGTTTACAGCTAAAACTCACTTATCACGGAGCATATTACGAAGAGCCGCATAATATTAGAACTAACGTTAGCAGAACTAGGCGCGGTTATCTAATTATTTCTTATCTAGCAGGGTTTTTTTGGCCTTCTTTAGAACCTCCCATTTCGCTATCAATCGGTTTGTTGAACAAGCAATGGCACGATGCCAAAAAAAGCTTACGTGCGCTTTTTCGTGACGGCGTTTTCATCGTGCAAGATGGCATTCTGCTTCGCTCGCCGTATCTTACCTAAACGAATATTTTTGCAATATTTGCCCAAACTTCTAGAATCTTACGCTGAATCACATCGATCTCCGTAATAAAGTCCTGCGAAATTTCTGTTTGCAGTTGCATTAATTCTTCAAATTTGAACTCGTTATTGGGATCAGCTTCAAATGCTCTCATGTTTTCGGCGGCGGCTTCCAAACGCCTATTGAGCGACATAACCTAAAAACAATTAAAATGTATTAATCAAATTTGGCTTTAACGAAAACCATTGTCGTGATGGGAGCCACATCAATTCCAGCAAATCGGCGTTCCGCGTCTCGAAGGGTCGCGTCAATGTTGTTCAATATTTGAGCGATTTCCTCGATCATCGTCGTCACTGAAATCAGCAGCAAAATGAGTTGTGAAAGCAATGTTCAGAAGAGGGCCATCCTACTAGTCATCAAAAAGACAATGAAAACAAAACTTGTGGCGAACGCGTGTTGCTGGCATTTGCAGTACGCTGAGTTGCTATGGTCTCGTCACATTTCGCGCGCAAATTTGATCAAAATACAAATACACCGCAAAGTGCATTCTCGATAGCTATGTATGTAGGTCATACAAGAGCGAGGCAGTTGAATGAATGGTGCTGAGTCGATAGAGCTTGGAAGCGAATATTGTTCCAATGGCAGGCAATTATTACAAAAAATGTGGTGTCTACAGTACCCCCAAACCGCCATACATTTGGCCTAGTTAAATACATTACACACAATGATTTAAACAAACCACGCTAACACTGAATGGGTTAGTAAATAGTGCATTAGTAAGACATTATTTAACATTTATTCTAACCAAAGAAACAATTTCGGAGGTTGGTTTATGAAGAGAAATGGTCCCACAATTCCATGGGTGCTTGAAAGCTTGAAATCGTATAGGCAAAAAAAGAGAGCAGTAAAGTCAGAGCAGAATATTCAAATTGTCGGAGACCAAACGGAATGGTGAACCCACAAAAAATTATACGTTCGGTCTGCCGCAGTAAAAAAAATGTGTTGCGGCATTATGTCACAAAGAAGCAAGAAGTGCATAGTAGGGCGGCGATGAGTATGCGGGGCTCCCGTGCGCATACACTACAACGCCGATTTGGTCTTTTTGAGCGCGACAAAAAAATTTGTAATAACGAAAAAATTGCAGGCAAAGACGTTGTAATATTGAAAGAGGGCGAACGAATATGCGGTATTGGAGGCTCAATCGCCACTGTTCCAATTGTGCAGAATAAAGCATATTTTCATGTGACGATTCAACAGACTGGTTGGTGTTGTTGCTGACTAAATGCTATGATTAGAAATGGAAATTTTTTAGGAGTGTGGGGTGTTGGTCTCGGACACAAACAAACGCCATTGGACAAAGTACCAATAACCAACCAATTCTGGGGAGTCCGAGAGAATGGGGACATAGTGAAATGCGAAGAGGTTATTGGAAAAATGCCAAAAACTGTTGAAGAAGGAGATGTGGTGGTAAATACATTTACAAAAAAAAATTGAATAAATTTATGAAAATTTAGGGATTCACGTATGATCACGTCGAGCTTCATATCTACGTAAATGGCATTGATATAGGGCAAACAATTACGGGAATCAAAGGACCGGTATTCTATTTTTTTTAACACAAAAAAAAGAAAAGTTTGAATGTGCAAAAAAAAAGAGGAAAATGAAAAAATAAGAGTGTTGTCGAATCAGTTCCTGAACATCCAAAGAAAAGCCTTGTTCTTCGAATAGTTAGCGAAATTGAATTTACGAAGAAGCAATGTGATCATAGGAAAAATTGAAAACTTTGAAAGCCAACTGTTTCGAAATAAATTGCTCATGCTTCGTGGTATTTATATGATTCTGCGGTTTTTAAGAGAAAAAGTATGGAAATGACATATGAGAGCCATTTATGTGCATATTGTGTCTGACAAAATGAAAGCAAAAAACGAACATTGTTTTATTTTATTAAGGTGTACCCATTAATCTACGTTGACGAATCGGCCATAATCGATATCAAGTTCAAAAATTTTGTGATTGAGCCTCCAGCTGGATTCACTGAGATTCTTGTCGAGCAAACAATCCTTTAATCTCATTTTCTGTCATGACCAACCATCCTATTGCAAATTATTTTCAGTAATTCAATAAATGTTTTTTTTCTATGAATTCAATACAGCTTTTCTCGTTTACTATTTATTAATATTATTTGAAGATGCAATCATATCCAGAAAACAATTCAAGGAGATATTGGGGAATTTTCAAGAATTTTACAATTCTTTCCAAAATGTTTGAAATGTATTCGAAATTGGGAATGTATTTGAAGAAATTTGTTGTTGACTTGAATGGTTGTTATAATTTATAGAATGTTCGAAAAATATTGTTTCGAATTGTAAAAATTATATAAATTTTTCGGAGAGAAAACGAATAAAAGAATGCTTTGTGTTATGGCTAAATAGGGAGAATAAATATACTTACAAGTTTAAGATGGAATGAAATATTAATATGTGAACCTTTGGTAAAATAAAATAATATTTAAAAATTGACATGCTAGAAATTGTGAATATCAGGGTTGGTTTTTTTCGTAATTATAAAAGATTAACATTTCAATGTATCTAGAAAACGTGCTTATAAAATTTACTATATCGTTCGGATTATTCACTGGGTGCTGTTATGGGAAATGATAGACTTTTTTCAATTTCGAAAAATTTCGGAAAATTGTCAAAGTTTCCACAAAGATAAATTGATTATATTCGGAAGATATGAAAATAGAATATGATTTTTTGAAATGAGATTTAACGAATTCCGTTGAGAACAGCAGCGGCTTCAGCGAGCTTTCCTCTAAATGCCTCCTCATCTTGAAGCAAGATTATAAACTCGGAGTTGTCCATCTCAAGCATCATTCCAGTTAGCTTTCCCGTTTCCTTATATTGTGGGAACTTCTTCTCAATGAGTGGATAGATGCGTTCCCCGAGCAGCTGTTTTTGCTCTTGCGGTGCCGCCTGAGCAAGCATATGAGATGTCAACGGCGCCTGCCCGGAAATGATGATCTGGTTCTGGCGTTGATAGTATTGCTGATTGTAGCGATGTCCGCGTGGTACCTGAAGGAGCATTAAACCCATTTATAAAATAAAATCATTAAACTCACATAACGATTGTTATGGTAGTTTGAATGTCTGCTAGGTCCAGTGTAGAACACGCGTGGAGCCGACAACGCATACGGCGGACGAAGTCCAGGCTGATTGAATTGATTTGGATATATATGATTGCCGCTATAATTAATCGAGGCTGATGATCTGTAAGCATGTTGTCCAGGATGCGCGTTCATCATTGGAACTCTCATATACGAGGGAGCCGAAGACTGTTGGCTAGCAAATCGAGCCGCCTGAGCCGCCTGGGCTGCTTGAGCAACTTGTTCGGCCAAAAGGCGCTCCTGCAAGCGTTGTTGCGCCATGTTCTGCACAAACTTGGAAGCAAGAATCGCGATTCGTTCGGCTTTACGTTGAGCAAGCGCCACGTAAAGTGGTTTTGATTTAACCATTTTGCCGTTCATCTCAGTGACGGCGTTAGTCGCCTCTTCCGGCTTCTCAAAGCAAACAAAACCGAAGCCACGTGAAATTCCATTGTCTTCACACATGATTTTCGCCGATGTAATAGTTCCAAAATTTTTGAATAGATTGTGAAGTTGTTCATCGTCTACAGAAATATCAAGATTTTTCACATAGAGGTTGACTCCTTTGTATTTCTGAATGAGCTCGATCTGAAAATTAACTATTTTTAATTTTTTTTTTTGAGATTTCACGCTTACATTTCGCTCTCTGTGCTTTTTTCGAAGCTCGATTACACGCTCACACTTTGGCTGAGCTCGGCAGACGACAAGAATGTTGTCGGTTCCCTCAACCAATTTTCCGTTCATCCCATCGACGGCAGCATGGGCATTTTCGGTATTGGTATATGCGACAAATCCGAATCCTTTTGAAACACCGTTGTCATCAGTCATCACAACGCAGCTGGTGATCTCTCCAAACGCGCTAAACATTTCTTGAAGTTTCGGCTGATCCCATTTGTCGCCAAAGTTCTTCACAAAAACGTTGCTGAATTTGTCAGCCGGGTTGCCGAAGAGCCTATGACGCTCATGTCTCGGCTGAAATCTGCCTACATAACTAAAATAATTGAATTTTCAGTGTAATGTTGAGCATTTTGAAATTCCAACATTTGCCTTCCAAACAGAAGCATTCCATTGAGTTTCTCAATTGCTTCGTTCGCAGCCGCTTCAGTGTCGAAATGAACAAACGCGTGCCCAAGATTTTTGCCATTATTAGTGGACACCTGAAATCAAGTTTTTGTGGGTTTCAGTGTAATGTTACCTTGCACGACATAATCTGCCCCAACAATGAAAATGTATCATGGACTGCTTTGCTATCCACAGTACGACCCAAGTTTCGTATGAATATGTTGCTTCGAGTATGGCGTCGATACATTGGATCACGAATCGACCACATTATCCGCATTGGTTTGCCGAACATTGGCTCAAAATTGAGCGTATCCATCGCTCGATCAGCTAAATGGAATAAAAGATGTTGAAAGGATTGAATTTGATGTTATACCAGATTCATGATCGCGAAAATTGATGTACGCATAGCCAAGCGACGTGCGCAAATTGCGATCGCGACATACGCGAATCGACAAAATTTGCCCAGCACGGCTGGAAATTTTCAAATAAAAAAATACAATGAATTTTGTCGTTGATGGTAACATATTGGTCTACATGCATCCCGGAAAACGATATAACAGCAAATTTTGCGTTTTTTCACCTTAAAAAACGTCTTGACCCCAATTTAAAAAAAAAATTGATGGATTAGCTGGAAATTTTTCCAAAAATATTAATCAACTCACGAGAATTTTTCAAATAACAGTGCCTCGGTGACCTTTGGATCAAGATCACCGACGTAAAGGGATGCCAGTTGAGACGTGTTGATTCGAAATTGTTCGAGCACGTTATGGTCCTGAGCCAATGATGAAACAGCCATTTTTTTGAAGATTCCCCCGCTGTAAAAATAAACGTGAGAAGCTTGAGAAGGAAAAATAATGTGGATTGAATGTCGCCTAGTCAAATTGAATGAAAATCTAGGTGGACTGAAAGAATGCTGCTCAGGCTCCGCCCATCCAAACAAATACAATTTAAAGAGCAAGAAAACAAGGGATCACAGAGATATAAAGGAAAGAGGACGCCTTCTTGTTTTGTGCTCTTGAATGATAGTTGAATCTGATAGGCGAAGAAACAAAATTGCTTCATGCACATTTTTTGCCAACCATTGAATTTGAATGACCTAATTCGAGCAACACATTACAGTATTCTGTGCATCGAAACGAAATTATAGGTTTCGGAATTTCAGCAAAAACGACGTCAAGCTGACATCAAATTTTCTTCAACATACCGTATACCTGGCAATAAATTGACATCAGATAACAAAAAACCTCCTAGTATAAAAAATGGATGACATTAACATAGGGAAAAATGCTCAGTGAGAACAAATTTGCTCAATTTGGTGAGTTCGAGGCACTCTGAAAATAGCCTAATTACCAATATGAATATTAATTAGAAGTGCCTCGAATTGAATATATTAAAGTAGAATAGATTTGCGTTAAGTTTCTGTTTGTCAATCGTAATCCCCCTTTTATTTTCTATGTGAATAAATTAAAATTTCAAAGCTATTTTCAAAAATTAAAAAATAATGAAGCATTCTTTGATGATATCCTTAGAAGAATATGAATTTCAAAAATAAAACATCGATAGTCTCGTACCGAAAGAAAGGCTTAGGTTTATTGCATAATTTTTTGTACATAGGTGAAACATCATTTTTTGCATAATTGCATTTTTATTGGCCCGAAACGCATTCGGAATGGTATACGCTTATATGCATTGTGAAGTACTCCCCGAAATAAAAACAATGTTAAATGATTTTTTTCACCTGAATAGGAATTTATTAGCGTTTCATTGGACTATGACAACTAGATTGTTCTAATTATAGAAAAAAAGTGATTGTCCTCATTCTGAATTCAGACATTTTTCAATTAAGTCCGCCATAAAACGAACGAAATTGAGACGGAAACGTGAAATGCGACGGAGCAGGAAGCAAACGTGGAGGCAAACAACCTGAAGCCTAAAAATGGGGTATACTGAATGAGGTCATGAAAGGAAAACAAAAAGGAATGGGTGGAATTCAAAGTTGAAAGAACGAGGAATGATAATAATCATATAAATGAAGAGGTACGGGAAAGGAAATTGGAAATGGTAGAAAAATGAAATGCGAATGTGATTTCCCGTGTTCAAAAGTTTATATTATCAAAATGTAAACAATATTGGGCGGAAGAGCACTTTAATTATTATTTTTTTGGCTTGATTGAAACTAAACAATCCATTGCTGGAAAAATTGCCTGGGTTGTTTGATAATTCAGCAGTCAACTGGATGGCTTCGATAAAGTCATTCATTCGGGAGAAAGAATCGTTACCACACTTGTGCTTTACAAATTATTCATCTAGAATCTTCCATCCAATTCAGAGAATCTAAAAAAAACGCATGAGCTCATTCATTTTGTTCGACCTACATGATGAATAACAACTATAAATCTGGGGGAATTGAAGACGACAAATTTTATAGCGAAAATTGTTTTTCAAAGACATAAATTGTCTTCTCGACACATGATTAAAGATGCTCAGAAAATCGTGCAAGCAATCGTATGCAAGGGATCTTTTCTGTGAACAACCGGGGGATCGCTGGCTATCGTGCCTGTAAAGCAATCAATTTCAGCTCCTAGTTTTTTTTAAAGGGGGACTCATTCCTTCTTCAAATTTTAAGAAATATGAAAATGATGATTAGAGAAATTCTCGCGTTCAAATTTCTGTGTGCTCCCCAATTGTGCTGATACCTTCATTCCCTTCATTTGCGATTCCATTTTTCTTTGTTTTAAAAGTTGAAATTTATATACAGTTTAATCCATTATTTATTTTTCTCCTTGACACCAATAAATCTTCCTTTTCGATTTTGAATGGGCAGAATTAGAGAGCATTGCACACCGAAGAGTGCGCAGACACAAAAACCTTCTCAGTGCGTCTCGTTTGCCCTCGATATAGTCTACTATGTGACGATTGCTTAACATTGCACAACGTTGCTTTTTCGTTTTCAATTCTATTTCGCGGTATTTGCATGTTTCGCTGTTTAGAATTTTCGACTAACATTAATCGTTCACAAATTTAATAGTGAATTGATGATTGGGCGTTGACAACATTTTATTTTCATTTTCGAAAATATTCGAAAATGGTTTCTCGCTCTGATAAACAATGACATAACGCTAGATAAAATATTTGATTTTGCCCAAAATGTAGAATGTTCAAGTAGAGCGATATTTTGCAAAAAAAAAATGGCCATTCTCCAGTAAAATGCCTACTTCCCATAAACGGACAATGCAGAAAAATAAAAAAAAAAATTATGAGGAAAAATTGCAGCAAAAATAAAAAAAAAGTTTTTTTTTGTTTATTCTTAATGAATTACCCTTCAAAATATTAACACCACTTAACTATACATAGGTTAACCTCAAAAAATTCTAACTAGTAATGAATGAATTTCATTCTCTGTGACATCCGTCTCATAAATTGTGATTTCTTATTCTCAATGATGGCTGATGTCTCGATAAAAACCTGTTTTAGAAGCAAAGTTGCCCTTTTTGGTCATCCAAAAAAATTTTTTAGCGAGTTGGACGGAAACATCAGTTCACCAATCATATCACATGTCCTCAATTCTGCCGCACTCTTTTGCGTGATTGTTCGCCGGGTTTGTTCGGCGAGAAGCTTGTTCGATGGTATCGAATCAAATGACTCAAGCATTTTCAAATTTCGATAACGTATCATTTTCGCTCAAACCACAATTTTTACTGACTCTGTTTTATAGCAGTTATTATTTCTGGTTTTTGGTCAAAATTGAAAATTTCTTCAAACCATCATGAGCTTGCAAATAATAATTGTTCTGGAGGAAAAAAATGTTCTTTCATTGAAAATTGTGGGATTCGAATAGCATTGAAAAATTCTATCGAAGAAATAAAAAGTTTTTCATGAGAGTTTTAAAGTTCTGAAAAAAATCAGGCAAGAGTAATTCGAATTTAAATATTAATAAGAATTTTTAAAAAACAATTTTAAGTGACTTTAAGTACTCAACTAATTATATTGATATAAAGTTATTATGTAGTCCGAAGATAACATTGAATGAATTGGTGTGTTGATGTTTATCTAGCTTATATAAAAATATTTCCAATTTCGAATAGCCACGCCCAATTCCTTATCATTACTTTTCAGTTTGTTAATTGCTAACATCTCGATTATGATGGTTTTTAGTAGAAAGTATTTTTTCTGATCTTATCACTAATTTTCTTATCATCAAATGACGTTGTGCGTCTGAACTGTCAGAAATTCGATTTTTCACACTTCGTTTTCCGATTAATTGAATTTTCAAATTTAGAGTGATGCATGAGGGCGTTAAACGATGTGAAGGATTGGAGGTGATCAAGGAAGAAGATGAGAAATCGAAACCAATTCCACCGGATAGGCAACGATTTGAAGAGGATTTAAAGCAAATTCATACACAAATTAATAGTATTAAAGCAGAAGTATAATTGATGATAATGATGCAATAGTAAAAGAATGATTTAATTTTTGAAGATTCGCCAAAAGTGTCAAAAATGCACCGCAGAAAATCCGAAAAGGAATGAATTGAATCAAGAAAGATTGCTTCTCAAATCTGAATCGGCAAACCTAAAGGAAATTGAAGATCAAATAAAAGAAGAGCTTTCGTTGAATGTGCGTTTCTAATTATGGTTGGAATTTAATTGTTTTTTTTTTGAATTTTAGAGAAGACGTATCGTAAATATCGAAGGGGATTGTGTATTTCGTCGAAAAAAAGATGTTCAACGACAACTTGATATGCTGAAAAACCGATATGAGAATGGGAATTTATCGATTCGAGACGAAGAGGCGATAGTGAGCAAGATGAACGTACTTAAAAGGAATAAAGCCAAACTGGAGTAAGAAATCAATTTTAAGACTGCAACAATTCTTTATTTTTTTGTTTAAAGAAGTTTGGAAGAGGCGAATGCGGCGCAGAAAAAAATTGAAGCCAAACTGAATGATGTGAAGGAAAAGAAAAGAGTAAGTCAATAGGGTTGGAAACTGGCAAATATTTCATCATGAATTTCGAAATTCTTTTTTTTTTGTATACTTCAATCGGAAATGGGCGGCAACGGAAAGACGTTGTGAGAAAAAAAAAACAATGAGCAATCAAAATTCCGCTTTTAGAAAACACGGTGTTTTCTTTAAGCAAAAAAAATGTCTTTTGAATTATTTTTTTTTTTGAAGAGAGCAATAATAATTTCATTTTTAAGATAATATTCAAAAAGATGGCCGACTTTCGATTTGAAAACGAACGATATCGATTGCATCGCAAAAAACTGGAGAATGAGATTCAGGAACTATCGATGCAAGTCAAAAATCTTCAAGAAGCTCGCCGATGTTTGATTGATTCCTATGAAAAAGATCGCGCTGACTACAAGTCATGGGTTTCGCAAAAAGTCGCTTCAAATCTCTATTATTTTTAAGTCGACGGTTTTTTTTCAGAAGTTTCAAGCGGGTACTGGAGTTCCAATGTCTTTTCCATCAGCAAGAAAAACAAGTAAGCTTTTAAAAGTCGCATTTCTAAAATCTGGCATATTTCAAAATTTTGTTTTCAGAAGTTTTCATTGATGACGAGGAGCTTGAGCCATTCTATGAGCAAAAACGCGATTGCAAGAGACTTCTTCGATATCTGGAAAATCTGAAAGCCATGTGTGCTCCAGAAGAATTAGTAGATAGTGGAAAAGAATCAGAGTCGGTAGGATTTTAATAATTCGAATGTGTTCGATTTTGACAAGTGTCCCTTTTAGGCAAGCATTTCTGACGACGATTCGGCTGACGAGCTTCCGCCGAATTTTGCGAGTCTTAATATATCGAACAAACCGACAACCAAGACTAGGAATCTAAAGAAGGGCTCACATCCGATCTCGCACAACATTGATATCTTCAATTTGCTTGTTGCAGTTGACGTTGACGTTCCAAAAACGTTCAGCGAGGTCCCAGATGTTATAAAACAGGTATAACTGCAAAGAGTATTCATGTCGCAAATTGATTGTTACAGGTGAAAGAAAAGCTTGAATACTACGACGGTCAGACAAATGAGATCGATTGGTTCAATGATCTCGGATTCGAGCTTGGAACGATTTCAAGAAGCACTAGCAACATGACGGATTCGTTTTATAACGAGTCGATGTCAGATGTGGCAAGTGTCTCTAGGTATTATTTATTAAATCTTTTCAAAATTGCTTGTTCATTTTTACAGTGCGCGACGGCCAGCGAGTTCACTACGCGACAATGTCATGTAGAAAACAGAATTTTGCTTTCATTCAGTGTGCCTTAAACAATTCATCATATTCCTCAATAATTATTGTTAATCGGGTTTTTCCAACTGGTCACATTCATTGTAAAAACTTGATAATACCCTACTTATATGGTTGAATTTGTGATATCTTTTTTATGTTATTATAGGAATTTGTTATCGTCAAAACATCATTAATTAGAAATTGAACGTCATAAGTATTAATAGCATTTCGTGATACGGCATCCTTTTTATAAATATACTCTTTAATATCTATAACTTTGATTGTTCTAATGCCTCGCTAATTAAACCAGTTCAATGCTTCTTCCATAAAATATATCATATACATATTAACCCATATTCAATTTTATGGAGAGATTTGCTGACAGCACGTGGGTCCCAATTAGATGCTAAGATCAATTAAAAACTATTTATGTTGCACCTGATAATAATTTCATCCAATTCTTAATGAAAGAAAGAAACAAATTATGCGAGCCTTTAACTGGCGTCACTTTGTTCAAATTAAATATTAGAGTTCAATATAAGATTTCAAACAGCTGAAAATACGAATAAGAAAAAATGTATTTTACTTCCTCAAAAATTGAAAGACACGTCGCAACAAATAAGACGCTTAAAAGTTTCGGAAAATGATTATTTGAAAGATATTATTGCATATTCTAATTGATATAAATCAATTCTTTATACAGATGGTTCTTGAAGCTGCTTACTTAGGTATTTAGTTAATTAGAAATGCGCCCTTCGTCATATGAGAACCACAGCAAGCTAGGATTTCCGGTCCTTGGCTCGGGTGGATCACGGTATAGTTACCGTGTTTAGGAAAAACCGCACAACGGATTCGACGGTAATACAAAAATTATTGAAATAAAATTTGGTTAAAAACCGAAAACTTAAAATTCAAAAATCATTTCAGATTTGCTATTCATAAATGCGATTCAATTAATGACCTCCTTTATATTTGGTTAATTTTGAAATTTTTTTTGCCATTTGCCTTCAAATAAGTAATGTTTGGGTGTTCAAATACAAAATTGTTCAGTAAACTTGCTAGCATAAAGATATTCCCAAAATTTTGTCGACTGCTGTAAGCGGGTAGATTTACGGGATTCTTTTTTCTTCTTCTCTCGCGCGGGCTAACTGGATCGCTGCGCATTTTATGAGGCGGTTCGATAATTTTCAAATCGAACGACATTAGAAGTTCCAAGAAATGCCAGACTTATCAAGAAAAGATGAATCGTTCGCGTGAAATCGTAAATCTACACGAATACAACACTATGCCAGAATCATTCTTTCTAATAATCATTGATCAACAGCCGCCGCACGACATGAAGTTCTTAATTTTATTTGTGATTTTTATGAAAATATACCAAAGTCCAAAAGCGGTTGCAATTACCAACATCATACCAAACAAATAGAGGAAGAATGCATTAATAGCAGCTGAATTTGAAAGCTACAGCAATATTATTGAGCAATCAGTGACCGGCTGAAATGATGTTCGATGTCGATCAATTTAACATTTCCGATGACAACCCATGGGAGATTTTCAAATCAATGATTCCTGATGACAATATGAAAAAGTTGGAATTTTTTCTATTCACATTATTAAAAATATTGTCATTTCTTTTAATGCCCGTGTATATTGCAGTTTTTCGTCGAAACTATAGAACCGATTGTAAGGTAAGAAACACATGTTACAAAACTAGCAAAATGCAAACATTTTCAGAGCCCGGTTTATCCAGCAATGAAGCTCTTCTATGGTGCTATCGTTATTCCTAAAATAACAGCAATATGTTTCGTTTTCACTACACTATTTTTAGTTTTCTTTGTGTAAAAATTAGTCCAAAAATTGATTCTAAATCATGCCCATTTTCAGAAATAGCACTACTTTTGGTCTTATGTGCATGGTTTTCCTTCTTGTTACATTGATGTTTTTTGATAAGGCTTTATGCAATGTTATTAATATACTACTATTCATTTTTTCTCTTCAGCGTGTTTTAATATTCACAATGCCTCGATATGAAAAATGGATTACGATCAGACAGTAAAGAATTTTATCTAAGAATTCATTTAGGCGAATCATTTATTTTTTTTTTCCATTTAAATTTGAATTGAATTAAAGCTACAACATTTATGGAAGAATTGAACCTTTTTGGACGTCTAAATTTCATAGCTGAAATTTTCAGCAAAAAATGAATCTCTGCTATTTTAGATCATCAATGAATTTTTTGATAACTATCGTGTTTGTTCTTGCGTTTTGTGGATCAATTCTAATCAATAGTAATATTTTTCCTTATGAAATAAATCAATTATAACGTTTATTTTTCAGTGAGAGGCGTATGTGCACAGATTGAGAGAGACAATATTCCTATCGAATCATTTCAAATGCTATGCATTATTTATAATATTTTCTCTGCAAGTTTTTAACTGCAAAGAAACTGTTCAATTCAAATTTCAGCGAATCTTAGTTCTCTTTCAAATTTCTTCCGCATTTCCCTTCATTTTTTACCTTATCATACTGTATAAAGTACGAGAAATACAAAAACAGATGTCGACGATTACAACAAGACCGGAAAGATTTATTGTTTTTCAAATATTGCTAATACCAATAGCCAAATTGGTAAGAGTTCAAAATCATTTTTAAAACGCTTTTAATTTGCAGTTTCTAATTCCTATAAGTTTATATAACGTAGAATATGAATTATCCGATAACTGGATGTTGGTGTGTCCAAACGCCAATTTAACAATTTTATTGTATTTCACACTTTACAGATTTACGTGGCTTTTGTTGAAGTAGACAAGTCATCGCTATCATTGGTTATTGAATTGAGTTATTTGCTCTCCAACAAAACCAATTTGAGCGAGTCCTTGAAATATATAAGAAACAAATGGTATTTTCTCCCATTTCGATGTTTCTTCAGCAAAATTTCGGATATCCCAATGAATGAAAGAGCGCGGACGACATTATCATAGAATATAATCGCTTCCTAAAAAGTTGTCTTCAATTTTATAAATTGTCTCTGTAATTTTGTCTTTGATATTACCATTATTGGGTGTTGCTATGATCAAATGTTTTCGGAAATTTGATTCAAAATATTGGTTTTAAATGTAGGAACTTTTGTATCGAATAACGAACAGCCTACGAATCAATGTATAAGTTACAGTAGTTTTTTTTGTGTTTTCGAAAAATGAATTGTTCTTTTTTCTTCAATTTTAAATCATCTGGTATCAATTCAATCAATAACAGCTGAAGTCTTATACACAGATGAAAATGTTCTCCTGAAATTGTCATTCATTAAGTGAATTACATCACGTCGACAAAAGAGGAAAGTCTAATTCTGGATTTGTTCAAAACCCTGTTCGATGTTGAGTCTGATCCTTTTGGGTTCATTTCCTTGGCAACATTTCGATTTCATGAAATTGCTTCAATGATATTGCTGATTCCGTATGTAAAATCATTTCGACGGAATCGCTTTGAAGATTACAAGGTTTTCCAATTTTCGAATTTATTCTTCTATTTCATTTTACATTATGCAAATATATCCAGTGCTTAAATTCAAAAAAAAAGTTATTAAAGTTTAATTTCAAGAAATTTCAGAGAAATAATGCCGCAAAAAAATTTACAAATAAATACGATTATTTTTTAATTCAAGCTTATTTAAACAAAATAATCAACTATTGCAATGGATTCAGTAACTTTCTGGCCATTAATTGAATTAAAGCTGAATGATAAACCATATCGACCCAAAATGCTTCTATTTGATGCTATGATTAGTTGATACTCTTTCGATCATGAAATATTTCGGAAAACACATTTTTGAAAATGGTCATATAACACAATTAAGAATATATGCCTTTCATTGGAAGAAATTCAATGTACAATGTGGTAATTTACATATTTTTAGAAATAAAAATTTTAATGCTGAACTTTTACTCCAAAAATGTCAGCTATCATGGAACAGCTGAAACATGGGGATATCTCTCAGTTCCCATTTCATTTTCAATTGCGTAAATGGATTTCGAATTCAACCAGACACTTCCAAATGATTTTTGGGAAGCTTTTAATGTTGAAACTTTTTCTCAAAAAGCGGGCTTCATTTTATTTCGAGCATTCAATATCGCTGCAATATTTCTGATGCCAATCTATTTGGCGGTATTCCGAAAAAATCGCGCATCAGACGCAAAGGTATATATGTAATAAGTGCTATGCGATTTTTTTTCCAATTTTCTTTTTCAGAGTCCCCTTTACCCAATGATATTATTTTTCTATAGGTCAATAGTTGTCACTTTTTTATCATCTTTCATTTTAATCTCCTTCATGATTTTTTTCATTGTAGTAGTGTAAGTCGTTCAACCAAAAGGCGAGCAACTCCACATGTTTTAGGAGAAACGAATATGCCGTGATGTTTCTGTTTTGTATATCGTTGGCGCTATATTTCTTTTTTTTCACATATTTTGAGCTACATTGACGACCTTTTAATATTCATCTTGTCCGTTCAACGGGTATTAATATTCACTATTCCAAAACTGGAAAAGTACCTGACAATCACACGGTAATAACACAATTGGATAAATACTGCAATTATTTTATTTCAGAACTACTCTGAATTTTATCATTTTCTTTTTAGCCATTTTTGGACTATTTGAAACGGTGCTTATGTACAGTAGGGATAATAAAGCTTTAACGGATGCAATGCTACCATATTTCAGCAACTGAAGTTTGCGAATATGGCCGACAAGGCAATCACATGGTTTTTGAGTCATTAACAACAATCTGCGAAATTGAAAAATATAATACAGTACGATTGACAACGTAGCAAAAATATTGCAGATTCTTTCAGAAACTTCATGTCTTCATCCAATTTTCAGCGACGCTCTCTGCAATTTCTTACATGATTCTCGTTTATCGTGTAAAAGCTTTGCAGAAACAAATGTCGACAATTCGCTCAAAGCCAGATCGATTTGTATCCTACCAAATTGGAATTATACTAATTA